GTCTTGGTCCTGTTAGTCCGTTGATCATACTCAATTGGCTAAGTTCACTGGTGATTGATCACGTGGCCGTTGACATGTCAACTGAGATCGGCAGACGTTGCAGGCGTTTTGTCACCAATCGGGGTGACATGACTGGTTGGGTAATTCCACATGCCGGTAAGGTCCTTGGTATATCCGAAAGGATGACTACGTCGCCTGGCACGGAACTAAAATAATGCTTGAAAACGGTTGTGACGTCTTATTGAAGAAACACTCCAGGAGAGGAACTGCATCCTAAGCGATGGTCTTTTTTTGGAGAAACGTTTTTACTCAAAAATTTCCTATTACTGAAAGAACGGAGTGAGTATGCCTACAAATTGTAATGGCTATAAAGCCTGATGCATAGGTTAGACCGTAGCACCTTTGCTTCGAGAATGAAGGAAGTTTGTCCACATAAATTACCGGCAAACACAACAGATGTGAAAAAAAGAATAAAACAAGCATGAACCTTTGCAACGCACACCCTGAAAAGTCAGAACTTTGTAGAATTTTTTCGACCAGCCTTATTCAAACAGCTCTCTCGTCCACATAGTGGATATTATCGAACGCGAGCTCTACCTAGCGCAACTTCCAGGTGCAAATGGACAAATCGAATGGAATGGAACTGCCCGTTATTTGACAGCGTATATTACACTTTGAACCCCCCCCCTACTTTTCACCTATGGTATGCGACTGTCAGTATCGGTGACTCACACACTCTACCAGCTTATCTCCAGTTTGATTCCAATGCACATAGCTCTGATCGACTCACTGTCACTCACCTAGGACAGTTCATCTTTAATGACCCGATTTTGTGGAGGCGTAGTTTTTTTCTCTGCTCCATCGTAGTTCAAAGCTTGTACGCTGTAAATAAGGGTTGATAAACCCTTGTCGATAAACAAGAGACTCGATGAGAGACCACCTGCTTTGATTACCGACGCTAATCCGAGGAGCCCACAGCATGTTCCCCCAACTAGTTTCATATTAAATTTTCCGTATCCGAACCTTTCTCTGTCTTGTAGAGTAGAGCGTGAGGGACATTTCAGGTGCTATTCCAGTACAACGGATAAATTTAGACGGAGTTAAATAGATTCATTGATTCAATAGATGTCATACGAATACACGCTGGACTGGTATTTGTTTCCAGCGATAAGTAATGCCACATGGAGCTTGCGCTGAGCTGCATGTGCGATCAACCGAACGACCTGTACGCGGTGCAAGCCCAATCAACAAGACCGAAAGGTGAAGAGAAGGGGACACTAGTAAAATCTTTCGCGTGCTCAACTGGTGATCCATAGCAATCAAATCGTGCGGAGACAGATAAAAAGCTAGGACACAAAACGCACGTGTAGAGTGGCGTGCTGGACCACACGACGTACAAGAGGTACACAGCTGGAACTAGCTAATGGCATATGTAATCTGGCGTGACCTGTACATTTGTGGTTAGAGAGGACTGCTGTTGACACCCTTGTAGGTTTAATATTCAAGAATTGAGACGGCTCTTTTAATGTACACAAACAGGCAAACACACTCAAATATGAATCTTAAAACACAAGTACTTCCTGATCACCTGGCAAAGATTCAGTCAGGTTCAACGTTTCTCTTGTTTAATCTCAAATAATTTGTCATTTTGGGTTCGAGCAATGTCTGAATCGGGCCCCAGTAAATTCTTACAGAACATCGATACCCAGAGGTCAGAAATCGATCAAACCAACAACATCTGGACGGTCGGTGAAAACAAGGCTCTTTTATCCGTCCGACTGTGATGTTTTTGCACCCCATTAGAGTACCCAGTATGAATGTCATGGCAACGGATGTCATAGTTACGCGGCTAGCATGACTCATGTCCGTCCTCCAGTTGGAGCATCATTTCAACGCTGTTTTCTCCTGTTTTTTTCCTATGAAAACACTGGCTCACATACCTTTAAGCCTGGCCCTATATACCGACTTCAGATATTTTAAACTTCCGATGACGGCTCAGAGATCTCATCTACCAGTGTACGCATTTCCTGTGGGATTTTTTTCCTAGTTGCGTGCAGCACTGATAGCCTGGCAACAGCGAAATGCGTCACTACGTGTCTGTCTATTAGACTCGGTCATGGATAGCCTAAAATAGTTCAGCTCACAGACGTGATTCCATCAGTGAGTATTCCGCTTAATAAGCTGTAACCCGAGTGCAAATAGAAATGGTGCCCAAAGTCGCTACTGAAGAGCTGAGTCAAACAGGCGCCAAATGTTGACCTTTGTTCTAAATCTCGTTAGGGTCACTGATGCCTTTCTTGATTATTCTGTTGCAGTATTCCAATGGATTATTCTACTGTTAGCACCAAAGACTATCGAATTGTGCCTTACGACGGTTGCAGAGCAGATGGTGCATGGTACGTAACTCTGCGGTAGTTGGTTCTGCACTTTTCTGCAGAATCAACCATCGTCTGCTGCCAGCGCTTACAGATTCACGAGTGAATTAGAGTCTGATGGTACAGTTCTGTTGAACTATTGTAGTGTCTCTATTGTAGTCCCTTCCTGATGCGCCGTCCAGTCGACTGACTGGGTCGGCTTATTGTTGAAACGACATGCAGGTGAGATATTCGTGACCCACCTTTAGCCGGCTAGGTACATTGATTGGGCCAGATTCTTTTCATCATTTATTTGTTTATTTACTTATTGTTGCTACTTGTTCAATTTAAAAAAAGCTAGTCTTGATAACAAACTAGATGGGAAATAAGAGATCACTTTCTGTTCAGGAACGATTTATCCTGCCATGATTTGGTACGGTTGACATTTTTGGAAAACGGCTGTTCATACCCTCTTGTTGAAGGAAGTGCTCTGCAACCGATTTTCATATGATCCAGTTTCTCGTTAATCAGGGCAGTACAAATATACGTAGGTGAAGGGGTCATTCATTCGTTTTCATTATTTCTTCCTCTCTGTCACGCGTTAAACAGCCCTCTTCTATAGATGGCCCAATAGGTCTCACCAAACGGTCTGTTTCTTCGGCTAATTGCTCAAAACTCACAACGTCTTCAGATCCGAGAGAAAGATCACGACCAACCATGACTGCAGAAAAAGTTCCTTTTTATTTACAGCTTTCTTATCCCTCTCTGGAGTGGTCACTGATGTTATGAAGATATGTCACCTGAAGAGCGGACAGAAGCTTTTCCGTTCATTGCAAACAAGGATAAAAGTGAGATGAAGTGCCACTTTATGCTGGTCACATTTTCACGAATTTTGTAAAAGATGCTATCAAAACTTGAAAACACCTCCCTCTCCCTGTCGTTTATATCCGTCTTATGACTTATCAGATGAGCCTGGAGGAATTAGACAGACGATTTTAGAGGGCTGCCTAAGCACACCATCACACACTGGTTGTCTTTGCGACAAGTTCACAGTTTGGATGCTAATTCCAAAATTGACCTAATTGAAAACACTTCGGTGTCGTTTTTATAGATTACGAAGTATCAGGAA